CCATACCCCTGGGGGGTGATTTCTCGCTTTCTGTCTCTATGTCTCTCTCTGTCTGTCTGGTGAGCGCACGTGCCCTACAGTGAAAATCTCTCAAAAAAAAAAAATAAAAGAACCAAACTGTGGATGGCCACGTGGGAGTCTACCACTCTTAACCACCATGCCACCTGCTGGCTCTGAGCGCTAGCATCTCTTGAACAGAGTATTACCACTGTACAATGGACCCTGCCAGACCAAAATATTTTTTAATTGATTTTATTAATTATTAGTATTATTACAATTTTTCTTTTTTGTTCTAGGGCACATGGGCTCACCAGAGAGAGACAGAGAGAGAAAGAGAAAAAGAGAGAAATGAGAAAGCAAGCCTCCAGGTCCAGGACTTGAACCATGGTTGGTCATGTGGGAGTTCAGTGTCTTAACCACCATGCCAAAAAATTTTTATTTTATTTTATTTTTTTGGAGAGGTTTTTGCTATAGGGCGTGTGCGCTCGCCAGACAGACAGAGAGACACAAAGCAGGAAATCACCCCCAGGGGGGATGGCCATGCCGCAATCCCTTCTCCTCCATTCTCCTCTAGGGATCTTGGGCACGCACGCACACGTGCCTGGCATGAGTTTAAGCCACCGGGTCCAGGACTCGAACCGCGGTCGACTACGTGGGAGGCCAGTGACATAGCCATTACGCTAACTGCTGGTCCCCATGCCAAAAGATTTTAAAATCAGATATTTCTTTTAGGTCCAAGGAACACAATAATTACTTTTGTATTAAAACACTACTGAAGGGTCAGCAGGTGGTTAAAGGCACTGGACTCCCACGATTTTAAAATCAGATATTTCTTTTAGGTCCAAGGAACACAATAATTACTTTTGTATTAAAACACTACTGAAGGGTCAGCAGGTGGTTAAAGGCACTGGACTCCCACATGGTCAATCATGGTTTGAGTCCCGGACCTGGTGACTTGCTTTCTTTCTCTCTCTTTCACTCACTCCATCCTTCTCTGGTCAAATTAAAATAAATAAATAAATAAATAAATAAAGTTAAATAAAAAACAAAATAACAACAAAAAAACACTACTGAAATCATAAGGGTGATACATAAATCATTTAAGGGTCAGTTATAAATCCATACAGGACACAAAAATTAAAAAAACAAAATGTGTCTCTGACAGCTCTTACCTCTTCTCCTATGATTGTTAGTTTGGGGAATTTCCGGGCCAGTGAGGAGCATATGCTCATCTGTACCAGTCTGTCGGCTTTGGTCTGCAGGTCTGTTGCACTGGTCTGTCAATAGAGAAGGCATAGGTAGCAGAACTATTGTGAAGTATATCGTCCTCTGATTCCTAAGGTATGTCTATATAATTTAGATTATACTGTCAGGTTTTAGATTCATAAGAATACCGAATGAGTCAACTAGTTTCTTGGCTTGGTTTCTCTGATAAGACTAATAGTAGCTAAAGTTTGGGAGCAGCAGATGGCATAATGGTTACGCCGCTATACTCCCACATAGCTGGCTGCAGTTTGGGTCCCGGATCGGGAGGCTTGAAACTCACACTGGGCACGTGTGCGTGCATACCCAAAATCCCGAGAGGAGAGTGAAGAGAAAGGATTGCTGCGTGGCCATCCCCCTGGAGGGGGGGGGGTGATTTCTTGCTTTCTGTCTCTGTCTCCTCAGTGAGTGCATGCACCTTATAGCAAAAATCTCTCTTTAAAAAAATAGTGGTTAAAGTTTTTAAGGGAGATTTTAAGTTATTTGGAACACTTTCTCCCCAAGTTCAGAATGTCTTTTATAAGATCTCTAGACATTAACTATTTGTTTATGCAGATTGAGAATGGAAAATTTATAAGTTTTCAAGGCAAAATTAAATATTATATCTTTACTTATTTAGAAGGTATTCCTTTTATGGGTTTTCCAACAATTTTCCATCACTAATCCTAATAATTCAAAAAGTCCTCAAGATGATTCTTTGGAATATAGAAAGAATTCCCATTTCTTTCTTTCTTTCTTTCTTTTTTTTTTTTAAATTATTTATTTAAAGAATGATTTTACTTAACTTTATTTATTTATTTATTTACTTATTTATTTATTTAAATTTGACCAGAGAGGGACAGAGTTAGAGAGAGGAGAGAGAGAAAGTGAGAAAGAAAGTTACCAGGTCCAGGACTCAAACTGTGGTCAGCCATGTGGGGGAGTCCAGCATCCTTAACTACCACACCACCTGCTGGCTCCTATTTATTTATTTTTAATTTGGCCAGAGGAAGACAGAGAGAGAGGGAAAGTGATAAATCAAGTCATCAGGTCTGGGACTTGAACCATGGTCGGACATGTGGGAGCCTAGTGTCTCAACTACCACACCACTTGCAGGCCCCAAGAATTCCTATTTCTAAAATCTAAAAAGCATTAACATGAGGTGCAGGGATATTTAATACATGGCTCATTTACACGATCCATGTCAGATAGTTATGGTAGAGAAAGTCAGTGGAAAATTCTGCAACTGACAGCCATGCCGCCTTAATTAAATTATGATTTAATTTATATAATGTATAATTTATATATGCCTGGTTAGGCAGATTTATAGATTATCTTAAACAGTAGAAGTTTTACAATATAATTGGATAAGAAGTGATCCCCCAAATCAATGTTTTATAAAAGCTTATCTGTTTCTTTCATGAGAAAGAGAGAGGGAGAGAGAGAGAGGACAGGCATCTAACACGGTCTTCTCACTGTCCTTTACCCCCTAGTCTCACCAGCCAGGATCATGGGAGATGCATGCCGGCATGTACAGGGAGATCTCAAGACATAAACTTGGGACACTCATGCAGTTTCAGCATCAAAAGAGAACAGGACAGAGTCAGGAGCTAGGTCCTATGACCTACAAGCAATGATTCTTTTCTAGGTTGAAAATGAATCATGAATTTAATTTTTCAGATAATGTTATTCACCTAATAATGAGTTTACTGAACAACTGTTTATGATGAAAATTTCATGTATATAATGTAAGTGGCTTAAACCTTTTATTTTGCAAATAGGAAATGAGAGACTAGAACAAAATGTTTTGCTAAAATCAAGATACCCTACATCTACTTCCTGTATAATCAGTCTCATGAATTTACTGAAACAGGAAATGAGATTTGTTTTACTTGTTTTTATCATTTTTACTCTTAATTTTTAAAAGCAGTTATATGAAATTTTCTGTATAATTAGCTCAGATTAATTTATTTCTACATCGTTTTTTTACTCATATGTATGACAGTCATTTTTTAAGGAAATGACATGATACAGATGTCTTTTTTTTGGAGAGTTTTTTGCTATAGGGCATGTGTGCTCACCAGAAAGACAGGGAGAGAGAGAGAGACAGAAAGCGAGAAATCACCCCCCGGGGGGGTGGCCACACCGCAATCCCTTCTCCTCCATTCTCTTCTCGCGATCTTGGGCACGCACGCACACGTGCCCGGACTGAGTTTAAGCCACCTGGTCCGGGATTTGAACTGTGGTCGACTACATGGGAGTCCAGCAACATAGCCATTACACTAACTGCTGGTCCCCCTTTTTTATCTTGAATGAGAGACTTAACTCACTCTCTTTTTAATTATTAAAGTATTAAAAGTAAAGAAAATAATACTACACTCTTCTTTAAAAGTAATAAAGATTTAATAAAGATTTAAAGATTAAAAGTCAATATATGATAACATACATTAAATTAAAAAAAAATTTGCTATAGGGCCAGAGAGAGAGAAAGAGGAAGAACGTGAGAAAGCACTACCTTAGAAGGGATGGCCATGTCACAACCCTCTCTCTTCCATTCTCTTTTTTGGATTGGGCCAGCCCATGGCAAGTTAAAATCTTGGATATGAAAGTCTGAAGTCAATTTCAAAGCAAAAATGGAAACCATATGAACCAGGGGTCTTATAAACTCCAGAGGAAGCCATCCATTGTTTGAACCATTAAAGTCTGCCTAAATTTTTCTATCCTTTAACTGTGCCATAAAAACAAAAATAAAGTTGGTATAAAATGAGATGAGAGTTGCAGTACCTTCTCCACGATACCCAGGTCTCCTTCAGCAATAACACGTCTGACTATCATTCCTGCCTTCTGAGCAATAGAATATGCTGAAGCGACCAGCCGCATCAACACACTGTGACTGGAAGCCATGACAAGCCTTTAAAGGAAGCTGAGAAAAATGTTTGGTTACTTTCAAAGCCAACTACTGGTTTTATTTACTTGACTTGAATTCAAGTCATCTTTAATGAGGGCTTACTTTGGACTGCCTCAATATAAGCAGATTCTTCAATACTTACTAAAAGAGACTTGGGGGAAAAAAATTTCAGCACTAAATCAATAAATCCTTTGGTGTTACTTCTTTCTGCAGTTGGGGCATTTCAAAGCATGGGAGAGACCAGCCAGGCTGCTGTCATGTGAGAAAGTTTGTGTGCGAAGTGTAACATGTAGACACTGCTGAAGTATTACAGGGACTACAAATAAAACATGTAACATCTGCCTTTCAGAAGCTAATATTCTGGTGGTTGTGGGTAAAATAACGTAACCCAATGTCTATGACATAAACTAGCATAGCATAAGGAATGTGGGTGTATGTGTGGGATAACTAAAAGGGGAGCAACTTCATGTAATTATAATGTTTTCTGAAAATCGATCAGTATTCCTTTGGAGAGTGAATGAGATTTGACCTGCTGTTATTTACTTCCCATCTTCATAGTAACCAAATGGAGAACAAGCAACATGGCTAATTAGAAATGAAGACCAATCATTTGGAAATGTAGTGAGCGTAAGAGAGGTCCCTACCTCCAAGAAAATAAGTGAAAACAACAGCCATTAGGATCAATTATATTCCTCTTGGAAGATAGAAATTCAAATCCTACAATTTTAGTAAGTGACCTGGATGCTCCAGTGCACCACCCGGATTCCCTTCAGGACTGGAGGATTGATCATTCCAGCTGCGAAGACCACTGTCACCAGACGGTCCTTAGCTGCTATCTTTCTTTGGAAAATTACCTGCTGGGAAGAGTCACCTGACCTGAAACTTATCAACAGGGAGGTTTATAGGTCACTCTCCATCTCAGCTGGGCACCACAACTCTGAAGAGTCATTCCAGCTTTAGAGCACCAAGTGTCATCACCTGAGGTCTTAATTTGGACCGCACTACAGCTGTACACCTACTTCTGCTGCTTTCCCATCCTCTCTTTCCGTCTTTGCCCATCCTCTCTTTCCCGCCTATACCTAATCCCTAGAACACTCCCTAATAAACCTCTTATATTTTACCTTTTTCTCAGAGTGGCTATAGGGAACTAACCGAGGATAAAAATTCTCCTACTTTTAAATCCAATCAAGTCAATGTATTTCACTGCAATAAAAGAAGACATTATTACTCCCTATATGTAGGGGATGTATATATATAGGACCTTATAAACCTCGACCAAGCAACAGTTATTGTCCTACTACCAATTTCTCATGAGATATTTGATTCTATGTGCCTTTTAACTGCTGTACATCTTCTTCTATAGTTGACAGTCTAGTCACAAAAGTATTAACAAAATTCAGACAAGTGTTGAAACTCTTCCTAAGTAAGCTGGAATAGAAACTGACATAAAGTAATGACTATCATACTATGACCAATAACTGTCTGGAATTAAAAAGAAAATGGAATGGGCTTCTGGGTATTTGAATTCTGTGTATGTTATCAAACTAGATTAATTTTCATGTCATAATAAGTGTTACACATGGAATACACAGTTACAATAACTATTAATTCAGAAACATCTCAAATAGAAAACAGGAGAAATAATTTAGCAAACACTCTGTTGACCTTACCTCTACTCCCTTACACGTATGACCAGCCATGTATCTGATTTGTTATGCACCAGAAAAGTAGTCTTCATGCAACGAATTTGTTCTAGCTAGATGTGTTGACCACTGAGGATGTATTTCAAAATGTGTTGCTTTGCTCTTTCAATCTCCATGTTATATAAGTCTTCTTTTGTGACAGGAAGATCATTTTCTCTGACTGTAGGGTGCTATTATAACTCTTCCCAGATATCATTTCCCTTTGAGCCAGTTAAGCCTTGCCAGGCTTAGCGGATGACTGAACTACTTCCTCTTATGTTTGCCAAGTCCATGGTATTTCCTTCCCCAAAAAACTTACAGGTTTTGTTTGTCTACGACCTTCCTTACAAAAGGTATACAATGTTTATGAATTGCCATTTAAAGCTAACAGTTTAAAAGAATAGGAAAAATGAGGTTTGATGTAAAGCACAGCCAAGATTTATAGATTTCATAAATCATTTTTAGTAGGCAAAGAAGGAAATATTTCTACCATTTTTCTCTCAAGTATTTTTCTGATTCAAACTGAATCAGTAATGAAATATTACTACCCTCTTGCCTTAATATAATAGTTTTCTTACATACTTTTCAAACAAATGAGCATTTTTGGGTTTTGGTGTAAATAAAATGTAGTTAATCATATTATCAAGACACAAAATTTGTTGCCTTTTCTTTTTTTTTTTTTAAAGAAAGATTTTTGCTGTAGGGCACTTGTGCTCTCCAGAGACACAGAGAGACAGAAAGAGAGAAATCATGGCCATGCCGCAATCCCTTCTTCTCTAGTCTCCTCGGGATTTGGGGCACGCATATACACGTCCCTGGCGTGAGTTTCCAACTGCCAGGTCTGGGACTCGAATCGTGGTTGCCCATAGGAGAGCCAAGCGACATAACCATTATGATATCTGCTGGTCCCCCGTTAGACTTTTTCATTGTGCCACCTCCTGTACCCCAAATGAGAATTATCTTGGATGGAACAGGTGGATCAAGAGCAAGATCAAAACTAGTTATATACAAATTAACTTCCTTAAAGGTGTTCAAATTATACCAATAGTACTTCCTTCTCTAAGTTTAACACAATCTGAAGCCTAAAGCACTACCTTCTGTAAACAAAACTTTTTGAAAGCTTACTCAGCATAAGAGGGGCCTGACAGTGGCATAGCAGTAATGCAACTGGACCCACATAAGAAGGCCCTCAAGGTTCATGCCCCAAGGCCAGGTACACGCCAGGTGTGTACATGTGCCTGTGATCCAGGCTGTCTGAGGCTAGATCAATGTGAAGACCCTGTTGGAGTTGCCTGTCCTTCTCTAGCTCTGATGGAAGAAATACAAAAAATAAAAATAATAAATAAGTAAAAAGAAAAGGGCCCAGTCCTGTAGTATAGTGATTAAGTGCTGTGTAGAAGGAGCCAGAACCCACATGGCTGACCATAGTCTGGCAGCTTGAAAAACACACCAGGCAGGAGTACATATGTCTAGGATCTTGACAAGATAGAGAAATAGAGGGAGAAAGGATTACAGTGTGACAACTTGTTGGGGGAAGACTCTATCTCTCCCTCTCTCTCTCTCTCTCTCTCTCTCTCGTGCATGCATATGTGCATGCACCACAGGCATGCACCCCTCCCAAAACAAAACAAAACAAAACAAAACAGCATAGTGGGGCTCTGGAGCCAACTGCCCATATTCAGATGCTGGCTCTGACACACACTGGCTATGTGACCATGGAAACCCACTTAAATTCTCTGTGTGTGCTTTAATCTGTAAATGGAGGTGGCAGTATATGGAGTACAGGTTGCTGTAATTATTGAATGGATAACACATGTAAAGCACTACAGTAATGAAAACAGCTTACCCACATAGACAAAGTGGTCAAATCAAATAAATTTCAGAAATAGATCCAAAGTACATTAAAGATAATATTTCAAATCATGGGGGCAAATCAATTATATATAAATGGCAGGGCAACTGCTATCCTTTTAAAACATGTCAGCTCTTTTCTCTTTTTTTTTTTTTTTTTTTCCTTCTTTGTTATCAAAATATATTCTAGGCCAACATAGGGTTTTTGAATAGTAAAGAATGAGGGACCAGCAGATGGTGTAGTGGTTACGTCACTGGACTTCCACATGGCCAACCGTGGTTCAAGTCCTGGACCCTGTGGCTTCAAACTCACACCAGACAGCTTCAAACTCACACCAGGTATGTGTGCATGCATGCCCATGATTCTGAGAGGAGAAGGGAGAAAAGACTGTGGCATGGTTATCCCCCTAGGGGGTGATTTCTGGCTTTCTGTTTCTCTGTCTCTCTCTCCAGCAAGCACTAGCAAACATCTCTCCAAAAAAAGGAAAAAGTAAAGAATGAGGCCCAGTCAAGATAATGAGCCCAAGACAACCCTGCAGCTCAGTAGGCTGAGGCCACTTGTGAAGACCAGATTCTATTCCTACCTCAACCTAAAATGTTGGGTGCAGTGCCACGCAACCATAATTCCAGCTAGTTAGGACATAGTGAAACTCTGCCTTAAAGAAAAAAAAAAAGGTTAAGAATTAAAATAATAACAGTATGAGAATAAAACATGTGAAACTCTTTAGAAACCTGGTAAAGATCATTAAAGCTTAAAACCAAGAATCCACACAAATATACTGATAAATTCACATAAAATTTAAAATTTCTGGGGCCAGCAGGTGGCGTGATGGTTAAGGCACTAGACTCCCACAGGGCCCACTGCCTGGTCTGAGTCCTGTATACATGAGTGTGTGTGGGTGTGTCTCAAATCCTGAGAAGAGCGAGGAGAAAGGACTGTGGTGTGCTTGGCCACCCCCCTTGAGCAGTGCTTTTTCACTTTCCTTTTTTTCTCTCTCTCTCTGGTCAGTGCACACACCCTATAGCAAAATAAATAAATAGATAAAAATTAAAATTTCAGCATAGCCAGAATGCCATAAACAATGTAAACAGATAACTGACCAAAAAAAACCCAAAAAAACCCCAAAAAAAACCTTAAATAGGGCGCTGGCCTAATGAGGTTCTTTTAGATAAATATGTAAAAGATAAATCATCCAAAAGAAAAAAAATGAGCAAAGAAACAGAACATGTAATTTCTAGGAAAACAACAACAACAAAAAAACCAGTAACTGTTAAATCCATGAAATGCTCACCTTCACTAATTATCAAATAAACTGCAAACTGGGGCCGGCAGGTGGCATGGTGGTTAAGGGCGCTGGCCTCCTACATGGCTGACCATGGTTCAAGTCCTGGACCTGGGGGCTTGCTTTCTCACTCTCTCTCTCTCTCTCTCTCTCTGTGTCCCTCTCTGGTGAAATTAAAATAAGTACAGTTAAAAATAAATAAATCTTAAAAAATTACAAACTAAAGCAACAAGAAATGATTTATAAGACTGCCATCGCTAAAAAGTTAGCCCAGTTTGCAAGAGAGAGAGAACATGTTCTTGGGGACACAAAGTGGTGAACGGCTTAGGAGGGTTTTGAGAACCTTTAGTAAAAGTAAAATGTACTCATCTTCTGAAATGGCAATCATATTCCCAGGGAAACTCAAATAAATCACACCTACAAATATGCAGAAAAGATCGTTGGAAGAACAGAACATTCGCTCTTTTAATAAAATTTCATTTTAACTGTACTTCAGTTTCTAACGAACGCAATGTCTAGGTTTGCCTTATTGTTTCTACAACATAGAGCCAGAAAAAGATCCCGGAGCACGAATGTAAAAGCACGGATAAACAATCGAAATGCTGACGCTCAAGATTTGCAGGTCCAAAAGTGGACTATCTGGATCGGCAACTTGATCCAAGAAAAGTTTTTCTCCCCTATAAATCCTGACTTTCCTCTTATCTGTGTATGGGGGTGGAGTACTCAGATATGGCTAAGGCCTTGGACCTGACAGGCAGGGGAGAAACTTACGGTGGTAAACCTGGAAGAACAGTAGATAAAAAACACCGCAGGAGCAACCACAAAAACCGTCAGCCAGCACAGCTGCTCCGCTGCGTCCAGTACTCCGCTTTCGCCCAGTGGATCCGCGGTCTGGGGACCGTGGGCAGCCCTCCCTCAGCTACTGGGCATGCGGGAAGTTCGACGCAGGCGCAAAACCGATACTTCGCAGGTTCTCTTGAGACTCCAGATCCACTGGAAAACTCTATCCATCCGCGTTTTCTCCAAGCTCTTTGTAGGCACAGGTCCCCAGCAGCAAAAGGTAAAGGTAGGCCTAATTTTACAGGTAACTCAGGAGTCAGGTGTCTTGCAGCTCTCTTCTACCTCTAGGTTAGTGACATCGCTCTGAGTTGGTGGCTGCTTAACTTTGAGTCCTTTGGGGTGGATGGACTGGTTTGCCGACCCGGTACATCCCCAACTACAGATCAAGTTTATGCAGTTGTGTTAAAGGTGCTTATTTTTTTAAAATTTATTTTTATTTTTATTTTTTAAGCTTTCATTAAAGCGGTTAACAGGATCTGTAACTCCGGAACTATTAGGAACTACTGTCTCCAGAGCTTTTGGTTGCCTGCCCATGAACCCTGGGAGATTTTCCTCTCTTCCTCACCTGGTGCATGCCATGTCAACGATTTTCTTTCTTTCTTTCTTTCTTTTTTTCTTTCTTTCTTTCTTTCTTTCTTTCTTTCTTTCTTTCTTTCTTTCTTTCTTTCTTTCTTTCTTTCTTTCTTTCTTTCTTTCTTTCTTTCTTTCTCTTTTTCCATAGAAGAAAAGCTATTACTTACTATAAAAGTAATAGAAGAAAAACTATTAATTATTGTATTTCTCACATTGTCAATAAAAAAAAAACAAGCAAAATAAAAAATTTCTCTTAATCATATTTTTGGGACCAGCAGTTGGCATATGGCTATGTTGCTAGACTGCCATGTGGTTTACAGCGGTTCGAGTCCCAGACCTGGTGGCTTAAACTCAGGTAGGGTGCGTGTGTGTGCATACCCAAGATCCTTAGAGGAGAATAGAGGAAAAGGGATTGTGGCGTGGCCATCCTGGTGTGTGTGTGTGTGTGTGTGTGTGTGTGTGTGTGTGATTTCTTGCTTTCTATCTCTAGTTCTGTCTGGCTAGCGCATACGCCCTATAGCAAAGACCTCTCCAAAAAAAAAAAAAATCATTTTTTAAAATGTAGGCATTCACCATAGATGGATTTAAAAAAAAAAAAGTTTTTGCCTTTCTCTCTCACTGGAGAGGAAGACAGAGAGAGGGAAATGATAATGAAATGAAATGAAATGAAATGAAATGAAATGAAAATTTGTCCCCTGGGGGATAGTTACACCACTATTCCTTCTCTTCCATTCTCCTGAGATTGGGGACACACACATACACACACACACTTGGTGTGTTTCAAAATGCCTGGCCCAGGACTCAAATTGTGGTAAGTAACTTGAGAGTCCAGCACCTTAACTATCACACTACCAGCTAGCCCCAATGTTGCAGGATTTATGGGTTGCTGAGTTCGCATCCTGCAATCACCAAGAATTAGAAGCGCAGACAAGAAAAGAGGATAGTAAAGCAAAGTTTACTGAAAGACAAGCTCCCAAGCAGTGAGGGGTACCAAATGGGTTGCAGAAGGACAGTTAAGGTGAGGGGTTTCTATCTAGCAGTCATTTCAGGAAACTAACTCTGAAATGCCCATTAAGAGCCATGCTGGTGCCACAAGTAGTAATGCACTGCTCAAGATCGCGAAGCTGGAATCTATAGCCACCGTGGTTTGACGGTTTGATTCTCTGCTAATTAGCTCAAAGCAGTTCAATGAACTGGCAAACTCCAGGAAGGGCACTGCAGTAGGAGCAGACCCTGTGGAAACTTCTCTGCTCTCTCTCTCACTCTCTTACTCTCTCCTTCCCTCTCCCTCTTTTTCTCTCTCATGGTTTACCAAGAATAAAGAAAAAAGTTAAAAAGCCACTTAGATTTTTTTTTTTTTTGAAGAGGTTTTTGCAATATAGAGCGCATGCGCTCGCCAGACAGACAGAGACAGACAGAAAGCGAGAAATCACGCCCCAGGGGGATGGCCACGCTGCAATCCCTTCTCCTCCATTCTCCTCTAGAGATCTTGGGCATGCACACACATGCGCCAGGTGTGAGTTTAAGCCACCGTGTCCGGGACTCAGACCGCGGTCGACTACATGGGAGTCCAGCGACATAGCCATTATGCTAACTGCTGGTCCCAGCCACTTAGATCTTTAAAACAAGTTTGCTGAGATTTTGGCCTTTGACAACATTCGTGAGCTCCGTACCCACTAAAGTGGCGCTGCCCATAGGGGTAGCCATCAGCCACTGTGTGCTGGCTGAGAACGTGGTTCGTGATTAGTGCAAATTCCGTCGCAGTATACCGTGTCCCTAAAACACCTGCCAAAGTTCGAAGACTTCATATGAAGAGACGTTGCGTAAATTATCTCAATAAGCTTTTTGTTAACTACGTGTTGAAGCAATAATACCATAGTTAACCAGTTCCATCACGTTAAATACGAAATATACATTCTTAAAAAGACGACAACTGGGACTAGCGCCCCACTCACTCCCAGGCCGAACCTATCTCCCTGACCTCGGAGTAGTCCCACCCCGTAGCGGCTGCAGCGAAAACCCGGAGGTGGCTCGGTCTTTCCCGACTCCAGGAAGCCGGGGGCGCCCCGCTCCATCCCCGCCCCTTCCGGGCTCCGGGCGCGTGCGCACTCCCGCCCCGCCAGTCCGGGGGCTCTTTGGGAACCTGGTCCTCCGAGCCCAGTTGGAGCCGAGGATCAAGTGCTCAGGAGGCTTCCCGGGTGTCCCCGCCATGCGTTGGAGGTTGTGCCCTCGAGGTCCTGGCGGGGCGGCGGCCCTGGTGGCAGCCCAGAGTTTGTGGGGGCCGCCCCGCATTCCTTGTCGCCCGCGATGGCGAGGGACAACAAGGAGGCTTCTGGTGCGGTCAGTCGCTGGGGCCAGTAACCAGCTGACGAGCCCGGATAGCGGCAAATACCGGGACACGGTGCTGCTGCCGAAGACTAGCTTCCCCATGAAGCTGCTGGGCCGCCAGCAGCCGGACACGGAGCTGGAGATCCAGCAGGTACGCGCTGGGTCTGGGCGCTGGGCCTCCCGACCCGCCGGGCAGGGAACACCGAGCCACACCCACCCGGGAGGCGAGTCGTGCAGCGCTGGCACGTCCTCGGGGTGGTAGGTTCCAGAGCGGGACCTTAAGGGGATGCTAACGGTGTTCAGTTACCAGCGTGTGTCGAATGCGCGTCTCATGGCTAGCATAGGCAAAGGAAATCGACTTTGGATACTTTCACAGGGACGTGTGAAAAGTAAGTTAACATGTACACATGGAAGTCAAAGTCATTGATAAGGGTGGAGGGGAACTCGAAGCCCAGCTTGGTTGGATCTTTAGGTCTCTATTTGGATTGACTTCTTTGAAGGGTAAGGTACTTCCTGAGACCCCTTTGTGGACAACATCTAACTGCTGTATTAGAGTGAATATTTAATTTTTGTTTTTTAAGTTTGTTCCTTGCTGCAGAGAGACAGAGAGACAGAGTGAAATTAAGAAATCACTCCCGACAGGGGATGGTCTCCCTGCAGTCCCTTTTCCATTTTCCTCTTGGGATTTGGGACACACATGTACATGTGCCTGGTCTGTCTTTTCAGGTCACTGGGTCTTGGACTTAAATCATGCGGTTAGCCGTTTGAGATCAAGCTGCCATCTGCTCGTCCCTTATTTAATATATTTAAAATTTTTGCCATAAGAAGACTGAGGAAGAAACTATCTGTCATTAGGGATGGTCACATCACAATCTCTTCTCCCGTTCTCCATTCTTTGGGATCTTGGGCACACTTGGACTGCCCAGAGTGTTTCTCAGGTCCCCAGGTCAGGGACTCTGAGTGTGGGTTGGCCATGTAAGATCTGACCATGTTAACCGCCAGGCCATATAGCTGGCCCTAGACTGGACTTTTTAATTTCTGTAATTCTTACAGAATTCCTGATGTTCTGGAGGTTAGGTAAATGTGCTTAACCTAAATATTCTTAGAACAGTTACTAGAGTTCAAGATTCATACACCTGTTTTGGGTACCTACTTTTTAAAAGTGTTTTATTTAGTACCTTCTGTAGGGGCAAGAAGTGTGACAGTTCAAATGTGTTCTCATTTAATCTTCACACCAGCCCTGTAAAATGGATATTAACTTTTTTTTTCCAATGAGAAATGAAGCTCATGAGTGCAAAGCGAGTTGGCCAATATCATCTGGCAGGGGAGGGGAGGGGAGTGGGACTACCATGAGTGTCCACCTAGATTCAGGGAATGGTGAGCATTGAGGCTAAAGAATAGCAAGAATGGAATATGACTATATGGGGCTATATGGGTCTTTCCTCTTGGCTGACTGCACTGAAGAGTGAGGAATAATAAGTACTGAGCGTCTGCCCAAGAATTCGGTGGGACTAAACCCTTAGGGCCCTGTGTACAGTATAAAGCGTTTTGACTTTAATCTGAAGTCTATGGGGAAACCACTGAAAGACTTTAAGAGACTAGTACGCAGATGTGCATTTCAGAGTCCTCCCTCTGCATTTATATTTGAGTCGAATAATTGAATAGGTAAGAAATAAGCAAATGCTGGCTATTATTTATGGTTAAGATTCAAGAATATGTATTTATGTCATGTCTAGACATTCTTATTCTTTTTAAACAGAAATGTGGATTTTCAGAACTTTATTCATGGCAAAGAGAAAGAAAAGTAAAGACAGAATTTTGTCTTCATGATGGACCTCCTTATGCAAATGGTGACCCTCATGTTGGACATGCTTTAAATAAGGTAATTATAATTTTGATTATGAGACTGGAAAGAAAATGTTTATAGAAATAGTCTACAAAAGAGTGTAGCCTAATTGTATGGTAAGTTTACATTGGCATGGACATCTATGGATTTTTTTTTTTTTTTTTAGGGAAATTTTTGCCACAGGGTGTGTATACTTGGCAGAGAGAGAGACAGAGAGACAGAGAGAGACAGAGTGACAGAAAGCAAGAAATCAACCCCCGAGGGGGGGGGGGGGCCACACCCCAATCCCTTCTCCTCTCAGGATTTTGGGCATGCATGCACATGCGCCTGATGTGAGTTCTAAGTGCCAGGTTTAAACCATGATTGATTATGTGGGAGTCTAGTGATGTAATCATTACATCATCTGCTGGTCTCAACAACTACAGTTTTACCAGAAAGCAAAAATAAATAATTTTAGTAAGTTGGGGGAAAATAACATTGTTGGTATTTGCTTTGAGCTTATTGTTATTTTGCAAGTTCATGGAAAATAGATATTACTCAAAGCTACACATGCAAACTTTTTTGTACCAAAATAAACTTTGTACCTTTTCTTTTTAGTTTTTTTTTTTTTTTCCATAGAGTGTGTATCTTCCCTGGAGAGAGACAGAGATAGAGAGGGAAAGTGAGAAGTCTCCCACACTGAGGAGAACATGTTGCAATCCCTTCTCCTTCACTCTCATCTTCAGATTTTGGTTATTCACATACATGTGCTTGGAGTGTTTTTCATGCTGCCAGATCTGGGAATTGAACTGCAGAGTGGGCCATGTGAGATCCAATGCCTTAATCACACTACCTGCTGGCCCTAAACTCATACTTCAGTTTCATTCTTTTCAGAAACGTTTTGAATTCCCTTTGTACGTTAGTAAATTTCTTTCTTTTTCTTTCTTTCTTTCTTTCTTTCTTTCTTTCTTTCTTTCTTTCTTCCTGAACTGTGTTCTCTCCAGAGAAAGACACAGAAAGAGAGAGCGAGAGAGAAGGCATCCCTGGTGGGGTGTGGTAATATCATATTCCCTTCTGCTCTATTTCTCCATCCTATTGGCATTTTGGGCACACATTCATGAACATGTGCCCAGTGTGTTTTTCAAGCCACCAGGACCAAGATTTAAATCACATAGCCATGGGAGATCCAGCTCTCGTAACCACCAGCAGACAGGGCCAGCCCCAGTACCAATTTTCAGTACGTAAGTATTGAATGTCTACGAGATGCCTGCATTGTTTTAGACTCTGGGAAGTGCAGTGAATAAAATAAAAATAATGTTCTGTTTTTATGTTGTAGTCAGGGAAGACATATCAACAAGATAGATATATATATAAATATATAATATGCTAGATAGTAATGAGTGCTGTAGAGGAAAATAAAAGCAGAAAAGAGAGAGATGGAGAGTCATTTGGAGAAATTGCGATTTATTTTTAATTAATTAATTTTTAGTTTTTGTGTGTGTGTGTGTGTGCGTGTCATAGGGTGCATGCACTCACCAGAGACAAAAGGAAAGGGAGAAATCTCCCCAGAGATTCAGTCTAGGGCTAGCTATATAGCCTTCTCTTTCAGTCTTCTCCTGGGAGTTTAGGCACACACACACACCAGTGTGATTTTCAAGTCACCAGGTCCAGGACTTGAACCGCAATTGGCCATATCGGAGTCCAACACCTTAACCTCCTCGCCACCAGCTGGGCCCCAGAAATTGTATTTTTTTTTAATTTAAATAATTATTTTTATTTTTATTTATTCATTCTTTATTTATTTTATTTATTTATTTTTTAAATTTGACCAGAGAGAGACAGAGGTTGAGAGTGAGAGAGAGAGGAAGTGAGAAAGCAAGCCACCAGATTCAGGACTTGAACGCTGGTCGGCCATGTGGGAGTGTCCAGTGCCTTAATCACCACGCCACCTGCTGGTCCCCAGAAATTGTATTTCTAATAAATTGATCTTATACACCTTCCTTACTGAGAAGGTGACATTTATGTAAAAGTCTTCAAGAAAGCAGTGGAGTGAGATTTAGGGTAAGACTAGAAAGTGCAAGGACCTTGAGATGAGAGTTTTTCTGGTGTGTTGGAGGAACAGTAAGGAAGCCATGTAGCTATCTGAAATGAGGGAGAGGGAGAATAGTAGATGAGTCTGCTGAGGTGGCACGGTCCAGATCTTTAGGCCATTTGAAGGACTTGAGATTTTCCTCTGGGTATAATAGGGAGACACTGGAAGATCTTGATTCGTGCCTCACTGTGGGGTGGTGAAACCCAGACCCCTACAGGCAAAACAAACAAACAAACAAAAAACAAATACAGCAGGAAAACTGTATAACACAAACAAAAAATATGAGGGTAATAATTAAATTTTTGTAGTAGCCACATTAAAAAAAAGCAGAAAAAAAGTGTGGTATTAATAGTGTATTTAACTCAGGCCAGCCTGTGGTGTGTTGGTTGAAGTGGCTGGATCTCACATGGTGGAGAAGGGATGGGAGGAATGTCAGCAAGGGAGGAGTGTTAATAATGGTTTTACCTTTGATGTGTGTGGAAAAGAGGAAGTTATTTTTTAGATGACTAGGCTAGTTGACAGAATACTGTTTTCTTTTTGGGAAGAAGGAAATTAAACTTGGGGCCAAATCTATCCTTTAATCCCCCATTCTATAATGGTTATTTATTTATTTATTTTTTTGGAGAGGTTTTTGTTGTAGGGCGTATGTGCTTGCCAGAAAGACAGAGAGAGACAGAGAGACAGAAAGCAAGAAATCAGCCCCCAGTGGGGATGGCCACGCTGCAATCCCTTCTCCTCCATTCTCCTCTTGGGATCTTGGGCATGCATGCTAGTTTTTGTAATATTTCTTAGCTCAATATAAGTAATATTAAATTATTTGTGTTGATCATTTTTCCATAAAAGTTACAATGTTGAGTTGACTTATTTGTATTCTGTTTTTTTGGAAAGTCGAAAGTATCTCTTAAAAAGGTGGCATGAGGGACCAGCAGTTAGCATAATAGCTGTGTCACTGGACTCCCATGTAGTTGACCACAGTTCGAGTCCCGGAGCCGGTGGCTTAAAACTCACGCCGGGCACGTGTGCGTGCATGCCCAAGATCCTGAGAGGAGTACGGAGGATAAGGGATTACTATGTGGCCATTCCCCCTGGCGGGTGATTTCTCACTTTCTGTCTGTGTCTGTCTGGTAAGCGCATGCGCCCTATAGCAAACACCTCTCCAAAAAAAATAAAAGGTGGCATGAGGGACTAGCAGGTGGCGTAATGGTTATATCACTGGACTCCCACATAGTCGACTTTGGTTCAAATCTCCAACCTGGTGGCTTAAAATTCATACTTGGTTGGGGCCAGCAGATGGTGTAATGGTTAGGTTGCTGGATTCCCACGTGGCTGACCGCAGTTTGAGTCCTAGACATGGTGGCCTGAAATTCACACTGGGCATGTGTGCCTGCATGCTCAAAATCTTGAGAAGAATAGAGGAAAAGGGATTGCGGTGTGGCCGTCCGCCTGAGAGGTGATTTCTCACTTTCTGTCTTTCTATCTATCTCTATCTTTCCAGTGAGCATACATGCCGTGTAGTAAAACATCTCTCTTAAGAAAATAAATAGAAGGTTGTGTGAACTGCTCTTTCTGCATATTCTGACTTTACAAAAAATTAATAATTTCAGCATGATGTTTTCACTTTGAAATTTCTTACTCTTCTATTTATTTATTTTGGAGGATTAGTAGCATTTTAAAATTTCAAATATTGGGACCTGTAGGTGACGTGGTAGCTAAGGTCCTGGACTCCCACATAGCTGACTGTGGTTCAAGTCCCAGTCCTCACAGCTTGAAAATCATGCCAAGCACTTATGTGTGCATGCCTAAAATCTCAAGAGGAGAATGGAAGAGAAGGGATTGTGGCATGGCCATCCTCCTTGGAGGGGGGGGGGCGATTCCTCGCTTTCTGTCTCTCTCTTTCTCTCTGGTGAGCTCATGTGCCCTATGGGGGAAAAATCAACTATGTGTTACTTCTCTGTATCTGTAGTATTTGAATTAGTAGGAAGATATTTTATATAAATTCTTTTAAAATGGTGTTTTCTCAATGTTTTAAAGTGGTATGAAGAAAATAAAATGTAAGCCACATGTTTTATGTGAGTGAGCATTATCGTTTTATCTTTGCAGATATTAAAAGACATAGCCAATCGATACCACATGATGAAAGGTTCCAAAATACATTTTGTGCCAGGCTGGGATTGTCATGGGTTGCCTATTGAAATAAAAGTATTATCAGAACTTGGTGGAAAAGCTCAGAATCTTTCAGCTGTGGAAATCAGAGAGAAAGGTAAATAATCTCTGTTTCGTTTTTTTTTAAATTATGCATTTAATTTTATTTATTCATTTATTTATTTTAATTTGACCAGAGACAGACACAGAGAGGAAGAGAGGGCAAGTGAGAAAACAAGCCACCAGGTCCGTGACTCGAACCCTGGTCGGCCATGTGGGAGTGTCTAGCGCTTTAATCACCACACCACCTGCTGGCCCCTCTATTTCTGTTTTTAAATGACATTTATAAACCCTGAAAAAGTCAGGACATCACCATAGGGATTTTTTTGCTTTAATGGAATCTGTTAGAAATCAGTTTGTATCAGGGCTGGCAGATGGCATGGTAGTTAAGGGTGTTGGACTCCACATGGCTGACCACGGTTTGAGTCCTGGACCTAGTAACTCGCTTTCTCACTTTTCTCACTTTCCCTCTCTCTATTTTTCTCTCTCTTGCTCTGTCCCTCTCTGATCAAATTAAAATAAATAAATAAATTAATTAAATAATTCTTTAACAAAAGATATCAATTTATGTCACAGAAAATTAAGATTTTTTTTTTTTTTGAGAGATTTTCACTGTAGGGCGCGTGCACTCGCCAGACAGACAGAGAGAGACATAGAGATAGAAAGCGAGAAATCACCCCCCCAGGGGGGATGGTCACGCCACAATCCCTTCTCCTCCATTCTCCTCTCGGGATCTTGGGCACACACGCACACGCGCCCGGCGTGAGTTTTAAGCCACCGGGTCCGGGACACGAACCACGGTCGACTACGTGGGAGTCCAGCGACATAGCCATTACGCTAACTGCTGGTTCCCAGAAAATTAAGATTTTTTAAATTGATTTTTTAGAGAATTATTTTACTTTATTTACTTATTTATTTAATTTTTTGATTGAAAAGGGATAGAGTTGAGAGGGAGTGAGAAAGCAAGCCACCAGGTCTGGGACTCAACTGCCATTGGCCATGTGGGACTCCAGTGCCCTTAACCACCATGCCACCTACCAGCCTTCCCCAGATATTGTTTAATTGATTTTTATAAGAATTTCAGTTTAGAGATTGAAGGAGAGACTGAACATTTCTAGTTGCATATCTCATTTCTTTAGTGTTTACATTTTATCAAATTGTTATTTTTGTAGGTATTTATTTTCCTTTCCTGACTAGAGCTTGTTGAACCATCTCAGGTGCTGAGCTATAAGTAAGTCTTAAAATAGATATATCTGGGGACCAGCAGGTAGTGTAATGGCTATGTCGCTGAACTCCCATGTAGTTGACTGCGGTTCAAGTCCCGGACACGGTGGCTTAAACTCATGCTGGGCGCGTGTGCGTGCATGCCCAAGATCCTGAGAGGAGAATGGAGGAGAAGGCATTGCGGCGTGGCCATCATCCCTGGGGGATGATTTCTCATTGTCTGTCTCTCTGTCTCTCTCTGTCTCTCTGGTGAGCGCACGCGCCCTGTAGCAAAAACCTCTCCCCCCCAAAAAAAAAAAATATCTGAAATTAATCCTTTTTAAAAAATTAATTAGTTAATCTATTTATTTGTTGTGATTTTCAATCCACTGGGTCCAGGACTCAAACTGTAGTTGGCTTTGTGGTTATCCAATGCCTTAACCACTATGCACCTGCTAGCCTGAAATTAATCTTACTTGACCCTTTCCTTAAGTAGCTTAAGTAAGAAATCTTACATGTTAGACTGTTGTAGATTTGGATACAATTATGAAGTTTTTTTACTTCCTTATGAAATGTCATTTACTTAGATTCGATATGCTGGTTAACTTTTTTGTGCAGGTACCAGCAGATGGCGTAGTGGCTATGTCGCTGGACTTCCATGTAGTCCATTGCAGTTCGAGTCCTGGACCCGGTGGCTTAACTCATGCTGGGCATGTGTGCGTGCACGCCCAAGATTCTGAGAGGAGAATGGAGGAGAAGGGATTGTGGCATGAGCATCCCCCCTGGGGTTGATTTCTCACTTTCTGTCTCTCTATCTCTCTCTCTCTTTCTAGCAAGTGCACGCACCCTATAGCAAAAACCTCACCCCCCAAAAAAAAATTTTTTTTGTGTGCATATAATGAAATGAAAATTCTCTGGCTTTACTTTTTTTTTTTTTTTAGTTTATTTCCTGAGAGACAGACAGACAGACAGCTAGATAGCCTTGATGAGGTCTCTCGAGGTCGTGATCCTCCCTTAAGCCTTCCAGCCAGCCAGGATCACAGAGGCATACAGATAGGCCCAGTGTGTTCAGGTGAATCTGAGGTCTGAACTCGAGCCTTCCATGTGGTTCAGCATCATGCCGTAATGGCCTATTGCCTGCTTCACCATTTCGGGGCCTGACCTTTCCTTCTTTTTAAAATTTTACTAGAGGGCATATGTGCTTGCCGGAGACAGAGAGAAGAGAGGAAAAAGCATCCCCCATGGTCACACCGTAGTTCCTTCTTTCATGTTTCTCCCTCATTTCAGGATTTTAGGTGTACACGCACACACATACCTGGTGTGTTTACCAAGCTGCCAGTTCTGTGATTCAGACTGATCCAGCCATCTTTTTTATTTTTTATTTTTTTGGAGAGCTTTTTGTTATAGGGCACATGTACTCGTCAGAAAGACAGAGAGAGACAGAAAGTGAGAAATCACCCCCCAGGGGGGATGGCCATGCTGCAATCTCTTCTCCATTCTCCTCTCGGAATTCTGAGCACACATGCACACGTGCCCAGCATGAGTTTAAGCTACCAGGTCTGGGACCCGAACCATGGTCGACTACATGGGAGTCCAGCGACACAGCCATTGCGCTAGCTGCTGGTCCCATGATCCAGCCATCTTAACTACCATGCCACTATCTAACCCATCTGTTTTCAAATGAACAAATAATGTCAAATAATTTTTTCAGCTTATTTTTTCTAAATGTGAGATTATTGCGTTAAGGCTGAAAAATACAGAAGAGAGTAATAAACTTTTAATTTTTAAAATTCCACTTAATTTTATAATTTGTTTCAGCTATCTTCTGTATACCTTTTTTTTTTTTTTAAAGAGACATTTTTGCTCTAGGGCATGTGGGCTCACCAAAGAGACAGAAAGCATGAAATCAGCCCCCCCACCCCCAGGGGGTTGGCCATGCCACAGTCCCTTCTCCTCCATTCTTCTCTTGGGATTTTGAGCACACACACACCCAGCATGAGTTTGAAGCCATTGGGTCCAGGACTCAAACCACAGTCAACTACTTGGGAGTCCAGCAACGTAACCATTACGCCTTTTGTTGGTCCCTCTTCTATATACCTTTATACTTCAAATAGTCTTCTATTAAAAGTTTCTGTAGTTTAAACTGTGTACGATACATTTTGAGAGAGCCATGTCAGTAAACCATGTTTAAGAATTTGAGTTCATTGGTTTTCAAAGCTTTTCCGTTTTCCTTTCTGTCTTTTTTTAGCTAGAGCATTTGCCAAAGCAGCCATTGAAAAACAAAAATCAGCATTTATTCGTTGGGGAATAATGGCAGATTGGAATAATTGCTACTATACATTTGATAGAAAATATGAGGCTAAGCAGTTGAGGATTTTTTACCAAATGTATGAAAAGGTAATAAAGTATTTATTTTCTTTGAGTGTGCTAAAGTATGTGTTACAAAATTCCAAATTTAATATAATATCTCTGTTTCTTATAGGGCTTGGTTTATCGCTCTTACAAACCTGTGTTTTGGTCTCCTTCATCAAGGTATGTATGTGCTTTTTGGTAATTAAAGGAGAGAATTCTGTTAAACTTCCAAATATTTATATTTAATGGTTTTAAACTTTAGGACTGCATTGGCTGAAGCAGAACTTGAATATAATCCTGAGCATGTCAGTCGTTCAATATACGTAAAATTCCCTCTCTCAAAACCTCCTCCTAAGTTGGCATCTCTTATAGGTAAGATTTATTTATTGTTTGACTTTATTAGACTTATAGGATGTGAGCATTTGCTAACATTTTTACCACTTTGTTGTCATAGATGGTTCCTCTCCTGTTAGTTTTTTAGTCTGGACCACCCAGCCTTGGACAATTCCAGCCAATCAGGCTGTTTGCTACATGCCAGAATCAAAGTGAGTATATTTTTGTATTTTTTGGTTTATCCACAAATAGAATTCTTTCCATCACTAGCATTATGTTGCGTTTATCTCGTTCTTATTTACTCTTAAAATTTAGAGCATAATGTGTTATGTTTATTTAGACTTTATTAAGCTTTAGATTATCCCTTTAAGACTTGCTTTTAGCTTTTTGAGAAAGTGAAAGTTACAAAGTATAACTTACAGAAATGTAAGTTACAAAATGTTTTAAAAATAGTATTTTTTGATCTTCAAATGACTTTTTCCTTTTTCTTTTTTATTTTGGGGGGGGAGAGATTTTCACTATAGGGCGCATGCACTCGCCAGACAGAGAGAGACATAGAGACAGAAAGTGAGAAATCACCCCCTGGGGGGATGGTCACGCCGCAATCCCTTCTCCTCCATTCTCCTCTCGGGATCTTGGGCACGCAGGCACACACGCTCAGCTTGAGTTTTAAGCCTCCGTGTCCGGGACGCAAACCGCTGGGAGTCCAGCGACATAGCCATTACGCTAACTGCTGGTTCCCTTCAAATTACTTTTTCTAAAAGGATATAAAAAATAAAAATATTTTCTGTGGTTCTTACTTTTTCATTTTTAGTAATTCTTTTCTAAATTTTTATAGGTATGCCATTGTGAAATGTTCCAGTTCTGGAGATTTCTACATACTGGCTGCAGATAAAGTAGCATCTATTGCTTCTACTTTGGGAACAACCTTTGAGGTTATTTCAACATTTTCAGGTAAAGAGTTATAGGTGTTGGGGTCAGCAGGTGACATGGTGGTTAAGTATGTTGGACTCCCACATGGCTGACCATGGTTCGAGTCTCGGACCTGGTGGCTTGTTTTCTCACTCTCATCAAATTAAAAATAAATAAATATAATAGTTCTAAAAAAAAGATTTATAGGTGTTCTGACCATCATAGTCATCAAAGTATTAGGTTGATTTGAGTTCACTAGTTTGTTGAACATTTGTTGTTAATTGAAATGGATTTAACCTCTACATATCCAGAAATTTTTTTTTTCTTTTTTTTTTTTTTTTGAAGTTTTTTGCCATAGGGTGCATGTATTCACTGGACAGAGGCAGAATAGCGAGGGGGAAAGTGAGAAATTAACCCTCCCAGAGTGGATGACCATGCCTCATTCCCTTTTCTGTTCTCTTCCTGGGACTTTAGGCATACATGCACACATGCCTGGCTTGGTTTTCAAGCTGCCAGGTCTGTGACACTCCCATATGGTCTACCATGGTTCGAGTCTCAGACCTGGTGGCTTGCTTTCTTACTTTCTTACTTTCTCTCTCTCTCTAACTCTCTAACATGTTACGAGTCCTGGACTCATGGGCCTAAAAAACACATTGGACATGTGTATGTGTGTGCCTAAAATTCCAAGAGGAGAATGGAAAAGAAGGAATTGTGGCATGGCCACCCCCCTCCCTCACCGCCCCCTGGGCGTGCTTTTTCACTTACCCTTTTTCTCTGTCTCTATTCAGTGACTGCACATGTCCTATGGCAAAAGTTCTAACAACAGCGGCAACAAAAAGGCCCAGTTATGGTGATACTCACTGCTAAGACTCTGTGTTCCGCAAGCTGGGATGGTTCTGCCTGAGCGGCCTGAGTTTGGTTCCCATACAACCTAAAATCCATGCAGTGATATGCACACATAATTCCAACAACTCGGGGAGGCTGAGAAAGGAGGAAGCTCAAGGCTAACTTGAGCAACACTGAGACCCTATCTAAAAAGAGCCAGGGGTGGTGGTATATGCCTGTAGTTCCAAGTAGGAGGTTGGGACAGGAGGACTATGACACTGTCTTAAGGGAAAAAACAAACAAACAAACAGACCTCCCCCCCAAAAAAAACCAGATTAAAACAAAAGGAATGACCTGTCTTACTAAACAGAAAAGCCCTCTAAATTCATCAGTTTAGATACAAACCTATTAGTATCAGTAGTTTAGATTACCTTACCAAAAATGAAAAGGTTTTTATGTCAAAGGCAGAAAAGGAAATACAGATGTTTAAGGCCTTTAAATTCTTGCTAATTCAATAAGTTAGAAGATCTAGTATATTCTTTTGTTTGTTTATTTTATGAGAGTGAGACACACACACACACACACACACACACACAGGAACACATTCTGAATAGGGTTGCATGCCATGATCCTGCTACCACCCTTCCCAGCCAGCCTAGATCATAGATTCAAGCCTGGCAGGTAGAGGTTGACCAGATAACTGAAACTGGAAGCTTCCATATCTGGCATCACTTGAGCAGTGTTCTACTGGTTCTCTACTCAACCAGCCCAATCCCAGTGTCTTCTTTATTCCATACTCCACCCCCCCTTTTTTTTTAATATTACTTCTTATATGTATCAAAACTCATATTAAACAATGAGTTCTGGGTTACAAGAGAGGATTTATTTTTTGCACTTTTCTGCGTCTTTGTCTACAAGACAGACAAAAACAAATTCAAGTGCTAATCCCAACTTTTTTTTAAGTGCAGAAAGCTTTAAGAACTTCATTTACACATTAGATGTTATTACAGAACTTAGAAATCAGAAGTTTTTTTTTAAAGTATTTAGGTTTTTTTCTTTTTAGAATTATTTGTTTAATTTTATTGGTTATTATTATTTTTTAATTTGACCAGAGAGAGAGAGAGAGGGAAAGTGAGAAAGCAAGCTGCCAGGTCCAGGACTCTAACTGTGGTTGGCCATGTGGGAGTCCAGCAACTTAACCACCACTCCACCTGCTGGTCCCAAGTATTAAGGTTAAATTTAAAGATCTTTTGCTGAGATGACATAATTGTTTCAAATTCTTATCAAGTAAAGAATTACTAGGTTGCAATTTTGACCCACCACATTGCAGAGGATACACTTCTGATACATGGGACATAAACAGGTGACAACTAGCTTATTGTTAGTAAAGTAGTGTGAATGTTGGACAACTGATACAAGGTAATTTTTATGAGTAGGTTTCTTTCCAGAAAAGTATAAGTTGTTATTAAGTCTTTAGAGATCTTTGGTGGGGAGGTGGCAGTGAGGAAGATTATTAGGTGGCAGATACAGTAAGTGGAATAAAGGAAAGTTAATAGATTAAATTTACTTGATTTTCCTAGACCATTGATTTCTTTTTAAAATTAATTAATTAATTTTAATTTGATCAGAGAGGAATAGAGAGAGAGAGAAAGCGAGAAAGCAAGCCACCAGCTCTGGGACTCAAACCACAGTCAGCCATATGGGAGTCCAGCAACCTTAACCACCACATCACCTGCAAGCCCCCATAGACCATTGATTTCTGTACTAAAAGTGCGTGGTGAGTATAGCATAGAGTCATGGGGACTGGTCTTATGAAATGAACTTAAAGAAAGAAACCAAAGTGAAAACTGAAGAGTAGATTTCTCTAAAGCTCAGTGTTGATGTGTTCTTCTTTAACATCTGGAATTATCTAGAAAAGAATGTATCACGAAGTAATCAAGTTTGCAAATGAACAAAATGCGAAGCTAATCAAGTTGAACAGCAAGGAGCACTTGTGATTTTTTCAGAATAGCAAGCTTTGTTGTCATTAATTATAAGAGAATGATCATTTTTCTCAAGGCCTTTTTAACCTATTATGTTTTAATTAAAAGAAGTAGAACTATCACATGAAACATCAAAGTTAGAAGATCTCTTCAGATTGTATGAACAGGTTACATAGTTTGATTGCTATATGGCTAAGAAAAATTATCATGGGAATGGACAAATTTCTATGAGGACAATTTTTTTTTTTTTTAAGTAAATTTTTTTTTTTAGATTTTTGCCATAGGGTGTGTACACTTGCCAGAGAGGTGAGATACAGACAGAGGAAAAGTGAGAAATCACCCCCCAGGGGAATAACCATGCCACAGTCCCTTCTCCTCCATACTCCTTCTAGGAAACTTGGGCATGCACATACATGTGCGTGGTGTGATTTTCAAGCTCCCAGATCCAGGACTCAAACCATAGTCAGCCACGTGAGAATCTAGCCACCTTACCTACCATGCCACCTGCTGGCTTATAAAGTTAACTTTATTTAGTTTGGAAAGTTGAATGATTTGTGGGGGAGAGCTGAGTAAGGGTCCATTGAAGTTTCTTGGTTAAAGAATAGATAGGGTAATGAATTATTCAACAAATATCAGTAATCCTTAGGTAGGACCACGTCATTCTTTTAGTAAGTTTGTTTGTTAATTTTAAAACACATGAAAGAAAAAGTTCCATCTTTCTTTCTGGAACTCACCTTGAGGCAGTAAAGGTAGAAAACATTAATAATGGTGTAGAAAAATTAATAGATGATGGATGTGACATATTAAATAAAGGTAGTTATATAGAATGTTAAAGTTGTAATCAGATTTGCCTTGAATGTTAGATTTAATCATTTCTTAGCCATATGATCTCAGGCATATTGCCTAAATTTTCTGAAATTTCTATTTTGTATTGGTATTGTGAAGATGAAGAAAGGATTATTTATGTTGACTCTAGTAGGGTGGCCTACTGTAACTGTCAGGTGTTATTTGTCATCTCTTAACCTTTGCAGGGTAACATTATGGAAACAACAATGGTTTCCCACAGAATGTATTAGAACCTATTGCTCTCCCTCCAGTTGATCTAGAATTTCTTTGTCCTTATATTCCAAAATTTGCATAAATTAGAAAAGTTTTCTTGGGCTCATTCGAATTATTTGTTAGATAACTCAGTACTTTAAGGTACATTCTTGGTAATTTTGGATTATATAAAAAATTATATTAAAAAGGTCATGAACAAATAAGAGGGGAAGCCAGGATCTGAGCCCAGTCAAGTCTTTTTTTACAGATTCTTCACTTCTAGTCAGATGTTCAGTTGCTAAGCTTTACAGTGGTGCAATTGCTATATAAAATGACTCTTAATAAAAATATTCTTTCTCTGCAGGTGTAGATTTGGAAAATGCTACATGTAGTCATCCTTTAGTTCCTGATAAAGTCTCTCCTCTTCTACCTGCAAATCATGTGACCATGACAAAAGGAACAGGATTGGTTCACACAGCCCCAGCTCATGGTATGGAAGATTACGCTGTCGCATCGCAACACAGCCTGCCCGTGGTACTGTTCCTTTTCTTCCGTTTTTAATTGTTCATCTTGTAGAATAAAAGTGATAAATCCTAACTAGCATCTTCATTGTTTGATGATAATGATTTTTGTTATCATACTTAAATTGTGAAATTGCTCAGGTTTGTGCAAAACTTCATTAATTCATACTGACTGAGAGAGAAAGATTTCCAGAATGAGCACGAAATCAGCATAAAACTAGAATGGAAGAATATATATTATGTGGGCACTTTTTAAATACTTATTTCCACGTTTTAAGTCACATATACATTACTTTCAGTCATTGGAAAATGGCAAGTAGATTTTATTAAAAAAAATAACAAGATTTTTTTTTTATATTAACTAATCCTCTACATTTATTTTACACATTTCAGTTACTTAGTTTTTCCATTAAGTTAAAAGGCAAGTCTCAAAGTATACAACTATGTACATGGCCATGTATAAATAATATAGACCAGGTAAAGATGTTTTAGTCTATTTTGTTAATTTTTGGTTATTAAACTTAAGGTATATGCTTTAATAACACATTTTGCTTTGGGTAATTTAAACATATAAAATTTTTAGATTCCTATTGACTATATAAGAATTATCCATATTTTTACTACAGAAAAAGACTATACCGAGATATTTGTTATATATTGTTTTATCAGGTGTTGTCATAAGACAAATGTCTTGATACATTATTTTAATTGTTCAAAATTATCCTTCGTAGGATTGTTTAGTGAATGAAGCTGGAATTTTCACAGATGTTGCAGGTCCTGAACTTCAAAACAAGTCTGTGCTTGAAGAGGGAACTGATGTGGGTAAGTATTGTATCTGTTGATAACATAAGTATACTTTTTTTTTGTTTTCAGTTTCTTCGAGGACTGAGAGAGGCAGAGAGGGATAGAGAGATAGGCACCTCCTACAGGGTCTCTACACCACGCTCTGCCCCCAACTTCAGTTAGCCCTGCATCATGGGCACAGGCCTGCCTGTCACATAGAAAAGTTTCTACATGCGAACCAGAACCTTCCCATGTGGGTCCGCCTCAGAGTGTTGTGTGACCACTGTGCCACTGGCTGGCCTCAGTATTATGAGTATAGTGTCACTAGATATTTTCCCTTATACTTTCAACAGAAACAAAAGCTAACCTTATATTTTGTTTTGCCGCATGGTTTAAAATTGATTTGGGGACTTTTTCACCTTTGCTTAGAAACTGCTTCATTTCTTTAAGCAAATTAGGGCAATTATTAGGGATTGATATTATTTTGGAGTAATAATAATCAGAAGTATTTTTTTAGGAATTATTTATTTAATTTGATTTATTATTCTTTTTTTTTTTTTAAGAGAAATGTTTGCTGTAGGACACGTGCTCTTGCTAGAAAGGCACAAAGAGACAGAAAAAGAGAAATCATCCCAGCGAGGACATGCCGCAATCCCTTCTCCTCTATTCTCCTCTTGGGATCTTGGGCAGATGTGCACACATGCCCAGTGTGAATTTAAGCCGCTGAGTCTGGGACTTGAACTGCGATCGACTATGTGGGGTCCAGTGATGAAACCTTTAAGCTATGTTCTGTTCCCTGTTATTTCTTAATTTGACCAGAGAGAAAGGGAAACTGAAAAAGTAAGCCATCAGGTCTAGAACTTGAACCACAGCTGGTCATGTGGGAATCCAGTGCCATAACTACCATGCTACCTGCTGGCCCAGCGGTATCATTTTTATGGAAGCAATAAGATCCAGCGTGGAGCTAAATGTTGACTCTGAATCAGACATTCCCCACTCTTTTTGTACCTTTGTAAATAACCGACTCAAGTAGCTGAGTTTGTGTATTAGAACTTTAGTCTTGAATTGTCTTTTTGCCTTTCTTTTTGGATTTAGAGACCAGGTGCTATGGAAGTGTTTTTGTCCTTACTAGGACTAAGGCTAATTAGACCTGTTATTTTACTTTTCTGGGGCTGCTGTAACTTATTTCTATACATGTAATGGCTTAAAATAAATTAATTCTCTCAAGCTCTGGAGGCTAGAAATCCAAAATCAAGGTATTGGCAGGCCCATATTCCCTCTGAAAGTTCTGTGGAGGAGTCCTTATTTGCTTCTTCCTAGCCTCTAGTGACTCATGCAGATCTTTGGCGTTCCTTGGTTTACAGTTCTATCATTCCACTCTCTTCTTCTTTTGTCATATGTTTTTTTTTTCTTTTTAAAATTTTGCCAGTGGTTGTGTGCACTGGCAGGGAAGCATGGGAAAAGGAAAGTGAGAAACCATTCTCATGAGGAATAGTCACAACACAATCCCTTCTCCATTTCTCCCTCCTTTGGGATTTTGGACACACACACACCCTACACTTGGAGTGTTTTTCAGGTTGCCAGTTCTGGAACTCAAACTGTGCAGTCAGCCATGTGATATCCAGCTGCCTTAACCACCATGCCATGGGCTGGCCTGGCTTTCTTCCTTTCTTTCATTTTGGCTGGCTTGCTTGCTTGTTTGCTTTCTTGCTTGCTTGTTTGGTTATTCATTCATTCACTCATTTGTTCATTCATTCTACAAGTGAGTGATAGAGACAGAAAGATGGTACCTCCAATAGAGTTTTGATACCATGATCTACTCTCAGTTTCCCCCAGCCTGGATCACAGGTATGTATGTGTTCCATGTACTCAAGGAAGGCTCTAGACATGGACCTAGAACCTTCCCATATAGGTCAGCTTACAGAATGTCATGCACTACCATGGCCCCATCCATGGCCTTTCTAGCTCTTTTGTGTCTCTTCCTGTATCTTGTCCTCTTTTAAGAATAGCAGTCGTTAGATTTAGGGCACACTCTAATCCATTGTGATCTCATCTTGACTTAATGACATTTGCGAAGGTCTGATTTCCAAGTAAGGTCTCATACACAGGTGCTGGAGGTTAGGTTCTTTTTGGGAGACACAATTCAACCTGATATATTCTCAGTTACCTGGATACCATTATTTAAGCTTTATGGTGTGAAATTATGCTTCTGAATTTCAAATCTAGATTCGTAGATATGGTTTGTTCATTTTTCCTTTGAAGTATAGACCTGTGGGAATGGCATAGTTTGGAGTCTGATTAAAATTTTATAGTCTCTGGGGTTTTTGGACTTAGATTATATCTTTGTTACCTAGAAGGTGGCTACTCTTCTCAGCATCTTTTGGTTCAGATTTAGTATTCCCCAGGCATTATTAGGATTTTCATAGCACTTTTAAATTATTTGTAATATAGATTGTTTATTTTTTTTTAAGTTATAAAGATGCTTCAGACTGCAAAGAATTTGTTGAAAGAAGAAAGATTGGTCCACAGCTATCCCTACGACTGGAGGACTAAGAAACCGGTGGTTATTCGTGCCAGCAAGCAGTGGTTTATAAATATCACGGATATTAAGACTACAGCTAAGGTATAAGGGGCAGTTCATTATGAGGGGATGGATTTATCATTCTCTCAGTATAAAATATTGATACGGGGTTAGGGGAGTGAACGAGATTGGTGTCACTGTGATTTGTTCTTATAAAGTTGTAGAATTATACATCTTGAAGGACCTTGGATTTGTACTCTTTGTTACATGTTTGGAAGATGAAGCTTTAGAGAAGTTAAGTGATTTGCCCAAATCACAGTTAGTAGGTAGACTTTCTTGCCCAGTATATATAGTAGTGAAGGTTAACTTGGAATTGGGATAGAGTTGAATTTAGCAAGTTGTTTAACCCTTAAGAATCTCATTTATCGCAACTGTATAAAGATGGTGATAATACCTACCTCATCAAGTAAATGAATAAAGATTCTAGGGAACCAGCAGTTAGCGTAATGGCTATGTTGCTGGATTCCCACGTAGTCGACCGCGGTTCGTGTCCCGGACCCGGTGGCTTAAAACTCAGGCCAGGCG